AAACATTTGTTTAGCCTTTGTCCCAACGTTTAATCATTTAGAATTTGTCAAGTCGAAGAAAAGTATAAGATAAAATTACAATTTTACCCCTTATGACCTTTGTGTCATATCACTTCCTAAATTATCAGATTTATCACATTGCGCCCCCTATTGGGGTTATTTATCTCACATTGATTGTCCAATTATGATTATTGATCTCTCATTGCCCTTAAATTATCACATTCGCAACATCTTACGTGCAATCGAGGTTATAGTTGATATAAACAAAGTTAAACTGCTCAAAGTACTTTTTTTTTTTGACTTTTCAAGAAATATATTGTCGTTCCAAAAAATAAAAACAAAATAAAACAAATATATTGCCCGCGAATAATCATCAATCAATCAATGATTTGAATCTAATGGTCTGGAACAATTCGTCGTAATAATTTTTTATTGTGTAGTTGAAAACTCTCTCAACATACATTTCGAATTGGGATAATTGTAATGAAACCTTCGAATATGCACACTGGCAAGTGACATGCATTTTGTCAATGAAAACTCGAGTTTATAGTATTACACAACACAACTACCATGAATGTGTACCCATAAAGTTACAATCTAACAATTCGTCAAGATGACTCAACTGAGAAGTCGTCAAGTCAATGATGTAATAGGTTGTAATGTGTCAAAATTATCTTAATTTACACAAATCTCTTGTGATCAGTTCCTCGTTGATTATATTTGGAGTTATGTTAAATATAGTTAAATACATGTCGATGTACTTATTAAGCAGAATTGGCACCAAAACTTTTTAAAATTAAGCTCATGCCCAAGAAATTTGTATTGATTTGTATCTGATTTAGGGCATAGCATTAATAAGCATAAACAATAAATCATCTAATTGTTTATTTGGATGATGTTATGAGGTGGAAATATTAGAAACATGTCTTGCAAGGCTGGTATTCTATATGGTATATGACCCCACTAATTGGCTATTATGTGGGGCCAGTCTATTTTGTTTCCATTCTGAGCAATGATTAGTGGGTGATGCCCAAATAGACCAAGGGAGAGAAAAGGAAAGCATGTGGCTGTTTTCATGGCACTTTCTATTAATTCTGGTTTTTGCTTTGTTTTCTCAATGAGGTTTTTTGGACTCGTGCACCTTTTTGGGTGTGGAGAGCCAAGATCCACATTGCCTATTAGGAGTTGATTCTTTTTTCTGATTCTTTTAAGTTTCTTTTGCTATAATTTCATTTGTCTATTTTTTTCTGTTTTTGGTTGGTATTCTCCTTTTATAATATCATATAAATTTAAAACACGAGCCCAAACATAACTAATCACAAGTCAGAGTTCAACGAATTTGGATCAAGTTTGGTGCCAGTGGCGGAGCCACCTTATCAACCAGGGTGCTATGATCCACCCAAAGTTTTCTATACTTATCTTTTAGTCAAATTTAAGTTTTGAGTTACCAATTTATAATTCCAAGGTGTAAGCTAGGATTTATGTATCCAGCTTAAGGAAGAGAAAATGTCTATAAAAAACTTCCCAAAATGGGATGAGCTTGATTTGGCATGTGCATGCCAGAGTAGTTTGCCTCCTTCTGTGAGACATGCTTCAATGTGACCATGAGAGAATGTAACAAACAAACACCAAGATTAAGATCCTTCACATTAAATATAATCTAAATCACATGCACATAACTATTTATGGCTCATACATGGTGAAGATGAGATTTACTGGTCAAATATAGTATTAATACTGAAACATATCTCTAATTAACTTGTGAAGCTTTGTTCCCAACCCTCATTTAGAGGTATCCTAGTCAGAGTATGTCACCAACCAAACATTTTTCTTCTCCTGGTGACTTCTCTCTCTCTCTCTCTCTCTCACAATATTTTTCACTTTGAGAGCAACCTTATGAATATTTTTTGGATTATTTAAGCAATAATAATATATGACGTATCAACACCTTTTGCATCTTTTAAAGAAGATATTTAAGAATAATCTTATGTTAGGTCTTGATACGTCAGGGGTTGATCAGCGAAGTCAGGGCAATAACGATGAAGGAATTTGAGCGCTAATGTAGCTAACAGCCACCTTCATAGTCAGTTCATTAGGATCGTCACCGAACTAATGAACAAGTATTCACCCTTTTCTCTGAATAATTCGAACCTTAACACCAAAATTTTGTAGTCTTACTTTCACTACTTTGATGATATACTAGTTACCAGTAAATCTCATTCATTTGTCCTTATTGTGGTCTCATAAACCTTATCTAATGCAATAATTTAGAAATGAAAAGGGTTTCCTGTGTTCAGTTAGATTTTTTTTTGTCTCTATTGAAATAGTGCATTCACTATTAAATTCTTTCTTATCCGCTAATTTGACCAATTTGTCTGAAATATATTCCCACTAAGATCTCTCCTATGCTTTAAAGCAATGTTTTAAAATCCGTCCTAATCCGGCGGATTGACCCGGAGAACTGGTAAACTGGATCGGTTACTATATTAGATCGTTTGTGAACAAAAACTGCTCAAAATCCTATGAACCGGCCGGTTCCTTCCCTAAACCGTTAAAACCATGCATTTTTCAACAAACTGGGCGGTTCAAATAAAAAACACATGTTTTTCACTTTTTGGGCATTTTTGCCCTAATCGTTTGTTGCTTTGGCTGGCCTCTGCCTCTCTCGAGTACTCGACACCTGAAACTCCTCTTCCTCAAGCACTCAGTCATCTCTCTCTTTGTTGTGATTCACTTTGTCGATCGAAGTCAAAATACGACGAAGATTTGTGACTTTTGACCGCCATCGTTGAAAATCTGTTGCAATTCTTAGCCACTATCGTTGAAAATCTACTTCACTCATTTGTTCACTTGACCTAGTAGGTACATCTCTCTCTCTCTCAGAGTCTCCCTCTCTCTGCAATTTTGGAGGAGTTAGTTGATACTTCATATTGTATAAATTTTGACCTATTTCAATTGATACCATTATCAATTTCAAACCGTGCAATTAGGAGTAGTTCAATATATTAGTAAACTTTAGATGAATCTTGAAATTATTTGTTATTTCTTGTTTGATACATGAAACTAGCCAATGCAGATTAGTCCTGTCCAAACCAATTAAGTTGGTGATAAAATTGGATACATGTTTAATAATTTGTGGGTTTTTGTTTGATTTAATGTACATTAAACATGCTAATATTATAATTATTGTAATTTATTAGTCTATTTATTACTACTAATATTATTTTTTTATTTTTTTATTTTTTTATTATATTACAGGTCCAACCAATGACTCAAACGTTGAACTAGTTACTCATTAACTCGGACCATTTACAAGTTGATGTCGAAACTGGGTTTTACAATTATGTTTTAAAGTATACGAAAATAGCAATAAAAAAAGTCAATAACCGAATAAAAATGCTAAGATCAAGACCAATGATTGTTCAAATCTAGTCTTGGTACAATGTTCCCTAACATCACATGGGACTTCAAATGGAATAAGCCAAGTTTATTTAAATCAAACAGCCCACTTCTGTTGCTAGTGATATACAAATCCTCGAATATAGCCGGTAAATGCATGTTGATTTCTGAAAAGTTCAAAATTTTAAATTTCACATTTCTCTATATTTCTGTTATTTTATTATGTTTAATTTGGACAAAAATAAAGTAAGCTTTCATGTTCTTGAGTATTTTTACCTTTCTTTTTTCTTTTTCTTTTCTTTTTTTGTTAACGAAGTATTTGTATTTAAAAACTCCAATAATGGATCTCTATTATTTTATCAAAAAATTGCCAAGCAAACTAAAACCTATTATTTAGATGGAACATACTTGTTTTCTCCACAACGGCCATTGACTAGTCAATTAGGCTGTTTGATTGGATTGTATAAATCAAAATGAAGTTATAGTCAATTAGACTGGATTATTGTATCTTGAGGATGACGCGTTGATGATTATTGTACCGTATTTTTTATATAAAATAACGTGAATCGTCTTAAAAAAACGACGTAGTCTATGCCTCACCCTATAGACTCTGAGAGAGAGAGAGATGGATTCTTAACTATCGGTGCTATGATAACGTGAATTGTCATAAAGGAACATGGATTCTTAACTATCGGTGCTCTTACAAAGAGAAATCCCACGCTTAAAAGAGTTTGGATTTAATAGACATGTTCAATTTGTGGGTGATTTTGCACATCCGTAATTGGCATTGTAGCCACGAGTTCAAAAGACGTGTGTGATTAATTGGGATTATAATCTGTCATCCAAAAAAATAAAATGAAAAAGAAAGTGCCTATAGAAGCACACTTCATGGTGTATTTGGTACGGTGGATGAAAATATAGAAGGATTGAAAATAGGAGTGATACATTTTTTATCTTTTAAGAGAGAAATCCTTTCTTCCCTCTTATGTGTTAGGTAGGAGGGATTGAAAGTAGGAACGATTGATTTTTTGGTGTTTGGTATGACAAAAAATTAGAAGGCTAGAAACAGTATATATGCATATTTTCCTATTATATCTATATATGAAAACAATGTATATATCTGTGAAACCCGAAAAAATAAACTTAATTAAAAATGATAAAACGGTAATTAGATATCAAATACGGGTTGAAAATTTAAATTTTTCTAAAATTCGGATGACAAAACTAACTTCACCGTTGGATTTGTCTCACCAAACCTAAATAACTAGTCAATTTTTATCGAATTCCGAGACAATCGTATTTTTCGAGTTTGTAACGTGATTGGGTATCGCGTGATAAAAATATGTGATCATAATTAATTGTGGAACCTATAATATAATTAAAAGTAAATATTATAAAATTATATTAAATATCACACGTGTTGGGACGAAATTGGTTGGGATTAGATGACATGTGGTCCATTTTGGACCAAGTATATAAAAAAAGAAAAATGGGTGACTTAGTTTCCACCACACACCAAAGAGAGAGAGAGAGAGACAGAAGTTTTTTCTAGCAAAATTCGAGAGACGATTCGCCTACAAGCAAGAACTAAACTTGCTCACAACGGGTACATCTACCCGTGGGTATCATCTACGCTCAATTACAACATATTTCAAAATTTGGAGTATTGACTAGCAAGTGAATAAGGCATCATTTAACTTCTTCAAGGGTCTCTCTACAACATGTACACGCTATAAGAATCCACATCCAAACCTTTCACCTCTGCATTACTCCCGGCGTTCTTCAATAAATTAAGAATAAATCTTGCTGATTTGACAAGCCAACGTCCTTGTCCATTGGAATGGCGACTCTTTGCTTGGGCAATACGCTCAACTCCACGAAAGAAGCGTGTGAATGGAATGGCTTGTTTGTGACCAAGAACATCCTCCAAGTACCTTTTTGCCTTGACCAAAGGCAACTTCCAAATTGCATGCGCAATCTCTCTTGTATTCTTAAAATGAACTCTGATATTTGAGCCCTTGGCTTTGCAAGATTTTGTGGGGTTTTTGGGCTCCCTCGAACATTTACCCATGGCTGCCACCCCTGCTGGTCTCTGTTGCTAGATGTATTTAGCGCCCAACTAGAGAAAGGTACACACTAAGGTAGAATTTTCCCTATTTAAATGTATTTTCAACCTAGAATATGACATATGAAATGGGTATATGTCTAAGGCATGAAATCTTACACTTTGCCTTGATTAGTGTCTCTAATGAGTTGATTGTGAATCAATGATTATGTTAAACCAATCTTTAATTGATTTGGAGTGTTGAACATGTTAAATATGTGTGACATTGATTGTATGCTATTGAACATGTTAAATATGTGTGACATTGATGGGTATACTATGTGTTTACACTTATGCCCTCTAGATATTTGTTAAAATGCCTAAGTGAATTTAAATATGTAAATTCAGTAAATTGTCTTACATAACATGCTTGGGTTGATGTTGAAAATTTTGTTATATTGCACTCATTATAAAAATTGACATTGTAAATGGTATCAAAAACAATTGCATATTGTAATGCATTATGCATGAATTGTATTTACATTCATAAGCATTGATATGAGTGAGAGTGTGTGCATGGTATGAAATCAATCACCACATAGGTGAGTTGATCGTGACTCGAGAGAGTCGAACTTAGATCCGGCTAAGTCACATGGATAATTAAATGAATAAATGTGTCAGGGTGTAGCAAGAAAGATTAAACTTTCTCTCACGTGCAAGACTCAGTTACTTAGTTTATACACTTTCTGATGGTAAAATTCCAAAAAAGTGTAATTGCAAAAACGGAGCCGCAGGTGGGATGTCCTGAAAATTCGTTGATAGTGTTGTGTCATATTAGTAAAATTCCATAAATCACAGCCTCACAAAGACACGAAAATGAATTAAATGGTCATTGGGTGTACATAACACCAATGACAAGGACTTGAAATATCCGGTGCATTGCATGGTATCACATCATGTGTCGTGCATTGGGAACTCGGGGGTAGGTTCAGTATTGGACATGCAAACATGAGACATTATTCATGTTTGACATGTGTTGTAACATTGTTACTTTTGAAGATATGTAACACAACATTATACATATATTTCATATGCATTTGGGTTGGGAGGTATTCTCCACATGAGGTATTCTATTGAGCGTGACTCACCCTTTATGGGAATATATTTCAGGTACCGGACAGACATCCGCAGGATGCCCTAATTTGGGCCCGCTTTGACGACAAAACTAGACTGTGGCTATTATTTTTAATGTTATAATTTTTATTTCCATATACATTGGCCTTGTATAAATTTCTAAAACAAAACTTATATTTGAATTAAGGCATGTATATAGGATTCTTTTAAACATTCATTCTTTTTTGAATGAATGTTAATATTCAATGCTATGTGATTAAATATTGATGAATGAACTCGGTGTGGTTAATACTATATAAATGTACAAATTGTGTATTGGGTAGAACTTCTCATACAAATGAGACTCTACTCGAATTTTTTAATTTATAGATCCCAGTAAATGAGGCGTAATAGCGTGGTAGCGAATTATACGATATTCACAGATATTCTGCGGGTTGATGGGTGATCAAAGAGTTAAACGAGACTTCCAGGTATCGAGATGTCACAGCTTCATATCAGAGCTTTGGTATAATTAACGAGGCCTAAAAGGTAATTAGGATTCCCAAAAATTGGGGCGTCATAACATTTATACTACTAATAAAAGTATCTTAATCTGAAAAACTTATGAATCTTTATTTTACTCTTATAAAGAATTGTAAAGACCATTCTATCCTTGTTATAATTTTTTTTTTTTTTGGGGGGGGGGGGGGGGGAAGGAGAGGGGAGGGTGACTTGAACCCTTAACCTTAAGAGAGTAAAGTCTTCACAAGGTAAGGAGTATTATTAAAATAAAGGCCCCTACCATTCTATCATTTTTACAATTAAATATCTAAATTATCATCATATCTTTATGCATTTAATTATCTATAATTTATGTATAAATATTAGTTTCTATAAAAAAAATTTGATTAATTATATTACCCTTAAAAAATATGTATCATTATACTTTTAATAAAGTTTTAAAAAAAAATCGCATCCATCTAGTATTACTCATCTCATATGCAAAGATAATATTTTGTCTACATATTTATATTTTTTTTTCATCAAAAAGTTTAACCTTTTCATTTCAAAGATAAAAAATAATCGTATATTTAATTTTTTTTAAATTAATTTATGTTATATCAACGTAATTCTTCAATTACATTAAATTTTTTAAGCTGTATTAAAATTTTATGTAAAAATAGATATTGTCATGGGTTGTTGTATGTAGGGGTCAGGGTGGGCATGACCCCACCCTCAAAATAAGTTGTGCCCACCCATAAAGTTGGTCTTAATTTGTATATTTGTGAGTTCTTTTAGTTTTAAATTCGTAAATCAAAATTTAAATTATTTATAATTGGCCTACAATTGATCTCTAATTTTTTAAGATTGATGATTGACTTGTTTCAATTGAATTATATAGGTATTATTACGGTTACTTATTGAATTCTTATTTAATTTTTTAGGATAAATGAGAAATAGCTTGAGACAAATCTATTTTTCAAATCAATTTTCAGTCAAGACAAATGACCTTTTTCATTTGCATTTAGAATTTTTTATTTTTTTGACATTTCCTTTTTGTGAAATCTTTTTTATGGACGGTTTGGATTTTAATGGAGTTCAAATTTGTAATCTACACCATTTTATTAGCATACATAAAATTAGAGTCGTCTTTGTCGAAGCCTAATGTCATTAATTGCTTAATGTTATAGAGTTGGGCTTAGTTAAAGTGCCTATACTTAAGCTAATGTCTGGCTTCACCCCTGGATATTGTAATGTGTTATTAAATAAAACTTGATTGTTTTAGAATTTTAATATGCTTGATAATATATATTAGAGCAGTATATTAAATCTTATCAAAATTCACCTAACCAATTCCTAATTACAGTAAGGCTTCAATATTATTAGTATATTGACAACTATTTTTATTTTATTCAAAGAATTATAAGTAGAGTCCTAATAAAATGAATTTTAAAAAATTAAATTTCTCAAATATCACTAAAAAAATCAATTTCAATCACAACATTCTAAAAAGAATAAAAGAAAAATTTAACTATTTCTTTTTTTTTTTAATTCTTATAGTTAGAACAAAGAATTTTAAGAACGTACAAAATTTTCATAATCCTATAATAGAATATAAGCAATGAAAAATTAAGTTTGGTAAATTTGAAATGATATTTAATTCAAATACACATGTACCTAATATGTTTTAATTATTTTTGTGTAAAAAATTATTGATGTGCAACACACGTGGTGCATTACTAATAATATGTAAATATATTATATACATAACATATATTTTAACATATATAATTAATTTTTCATTTATTTTTTTTTTCGATTTTGGAGGGATTGATTTTGGTTTGTTAAAAGGAAAACTAATTCATTCACTAATTCATCATTCCTATTTGATTATCAAATATAATGTTTTATCTATCCCTCTAATTTCCTATTCTTCTAATTTTTTATTTTTCTAATTTTCCATCATACCAAACAAAGTATTAAAATCTTTTTTCCATGTTTGACATGGACAATCTGAAAGAAGGCAAGTTAGTTCAATCTTCTTAACTTGCTTACAAAGATGGAAAAGAGCCAAACCAAAAAGTGGTTAGTTTCACCTAAACCTTCACTTGGGCCACATAATTATTGTTTGGAGACTAAGAATTTGTTTGGTGTGTAAATGTTTACATCATACGTTACCTTCACAAAATATTTATTATTTCAAACGTTGTATGATTTAAAATATGTCAAGTAGAAGAAAAGTAAACTTATTAAAAGTCATTCTTATCTTTTAATCAAACATATTGCCATGAATATCATCAATCCAACAATAATTGGAATCCCTTGGTCAAGAATAGCATGCAAGGTAATTTTTTTTTTCCTATATCGGAGAATCATCTCATTCTTATGCTAGTTCCAATTCTTTTTAAAATTTTTTTTACGCCTAGTGACATTGAGAGTTAGGTAGGCAAAAGTCTTTGAAAGTCACGTTTATTGGGTCAACCAAAATTCGAACGTATCATCACAAAGTACGTCGTCACTGAGGCCTTCTCATTTAAGTTATCCAATTATTTGTGTAATGGTACCCCCCCCCCCCCCCCTCTTTCTCCAAAATCCTAAAAAAGAACCTCAATAAACAATCCAAAAAAATGTTTATTTTGATTGATGAGCCCAAATTTAAACTAAACTTGAGTGCAGTTCATGAATTGAGTTCAAATCATCAAAAGGCAAGTCAGGTGTAACTTATGGTGTTAGTTCAATTTAAAGCTCAAAGTTCTAGAAAAGTCACCGTACATGGGAGAATAATCATGGAGATAACTATTATTGCACGATAGTGTCCATCCCCAATTGTAGTTATCATCCCTGATAAATTAGTAGTTTAACCGTCACATCACCAACTCATATGGGGGACAAATATCACATATTACACCTTGAACATACTCTTACTCTCTTTTTCTCTCCCCAACTATTTGTACTCTCTTATTAATAGAATTTTTCGACCATTATTGTCACCTTTAGTGGTTAAATTATCCAAACCCAAAGTCCAAATTTTTTTTCTCTTATTATTAATTATTTTATATTATACACTCAACTAATTTAATTTTATATAATCAATTTTACGCATCATCATGGATGATGTTATAAGGAGGAAACTACAAGGGTAAAAAAAGTTTTCCCTATCATGCTTGCAAGGCCTATTTGACCATTCATTTTACAACTTTTAATAAGTTGATGACGAGGTCAAAGGAGTGTTGGCTCCCACTAATTGGCTATCATGAAGAGCCAGTCGACTTTGTTTTCATTCTGAGCAATGACAAATGGTAATGCCCAATTCTAGAGAAGCGAGGATTAAAAAAAAGAAAAGAAAAGGAAAGCCTGTGATTGTTTTCGTGGCACTTTGTAGGATTTGAAAGAGGTATGGTACCACACGTTAT